ACGCTCCGGAAGATATTAAAATGATAATTTTTGTAACTTATGATTCGAAAATGAAGATGCACTTACGGTATATGGTAAATAGATTATTTAGTATTAGTGTCTTCCCAAAATAAAACTGGATTATACAATGTAAGTTACGGAAATAGCGATATCAAAAACAAATTTTTTTTTTTTTTTTAAATTGACGAATCAAGGTTTGTTTAGCCCAGCGAAACCGGTAACCAGGAAACGTGGAGTCACACTTTTCTCCATTACTTTGACCCCGAGGAGATGCTTGTATCTGATTGGCTTTCACACAAAAGAGGTCACAGCTCGCTGGCGACCCGCTCGCAAGCGGCTGTTCACATGGATCAAGAGCGAGCTGCATCGAGAGTTATTAACGTACTATACAATCAGTAAGTTAACAACTCTATTGGTTTATACATTATGGAATACATGTGATTAAAGATTTCCATTAATTGTTCTGTAGTGACATTTTAAATTTTATTTACATATTGGTTTTTGGCGAGGTGCTCAATTCTCAATTATGGACTTGTTTTGTGCTCCGTGAGTTTGACGTTGTCTCTTATGTTATGCATGGAGGAATACAATAGGCCTAGGATGTAACAACAGTTGTTTAGCGATATTGTACACGGTGGTGTCGGCATTTTATTGGATAATTCAGTTTACCATCAACAGCAACAAAAGTTAAGCTCCTATCTTTAGCCACGATGTAGTCCCCTAATTATTTAATGTTCAATTGTTTTTATTAAATATTTGTATCTAGGAATGTAATTAATTCAGTCCTTTTCATATAAATGTTTTAATGGAATTTTAGTGTCTGATCATACACCTATTAATAGGTTCATGGTATGTATTGTATTTTTAATGGTTAATAAATTGTACAGAAACAGTGGCCTATTAAAATATTTGAACCTCTATCACGATTGAATGATATTTTGCGCTTACAAATAAAGAAATATATTGTTATTCTTGGAAGTCTTCTTTCACAGTCAGCCACTTTCAAGATTGTATCACAATACAGAAATTCCATTTCAATAAAAGTTCTAGGGCTCGCATGTTGCTTGTTGGGCACTGGAGGTCATTAGCCTAGTAGGCGGCGCATTCTATTCTTAGTGCTAAATGCATCGCACGTGACTTCCAACAGTACGCCCACAAAGTGCCGACCATAGCAAAACATTCACACGGTTCCGATATAAAAACCAAGCGGCTGCCTGCAGCTGTACATTTTTCGCTATACAATACAGTATACCTCCATGAGTACAGGTATATCGACGTTCGCTTTTTATGACGGATACACCAAACATATGTATTTTTCTTATACATTTTTAAAAACCTCGAAAACAGTTGGTGAGTTTATAATATTATGCGGACTATGGG